CCCGCAACTTTCGAAATGGTTACAGGTGATCTATGCTTCCAACAACACTGCGCTGACAAAAAATGGCATTCTGTACACTCAACTTCGTCAGTAACAGAAAAATAAAGTTTAAAACATAAGTAATACCGACTTTCGTCAAAGTAGCAGAAAAATAATATCAAACGTATTAGTAAACAATAATAAATGACATATGACATATACATATGCGCCTATAGATACAATGATTAAAGTGTATCGACGTTCGCTTGTATACATATTAGACGTATTTGAATAATAATAAATGACATTGAAAAGCAGCAGTAAATAACATCAGAAAGCATCAAAAAGTAATTTATAACAGAATCAACGGTGACACGCTTGCACTTAAGTGTAACCACAACAAAGACAACGATGATAGCATCGATAAGGATTTCAGGAAAATAGCAGTATTGGTACAAAAGCAGTTGTAATAATAAAAGTAATAATTAAAAAGGTTACTATGCAGCATTAAGAATGGTCCTTACTAAACATTATTTACATGTTAAGCAACATTGTTTATTTTATTGAAAAAATGACGTAAAACGAAAATTCTAAAACTTTGCTTTACGCCATTTATTATAGTAACATCGTTGTGCCCACATGGTATTTGCACTGGTTACTGTTACTGTGCTGCTATAAGAGCATGGCAGGCAGTCAAAATAGAAATCTATGTTCCACATTCAAAGGCTAAAATCCATAGTAGTGTGAGTGGCAACGTAGAAACATAAAAACATAACTTCTCTGGAGTGTAGTAGCAGTTTCTTGGCTAAAATCTACTATGAAAGTTCCCAGTGTTTAACTACTTACAGTGTTTGAGGAGACACTTTTTTTCTCGAAGTGTTTAAACTTAAACAGTTTTATAACAGCATAGCGTGTGGATCATTTTCAAGAATTATGGCCTAAAATCTGTCTCGATATATTAACTTGAGAAATTGACAAGATCTTTTTTTTTTATAGATTGCAATTATAAATCGTTTAAGCAGGAAAATTTGTAGCTGGCTTTATACGTAAAAACTAAAAAGAGCTGTTAAAAAAAAATTCTTTAGTTTAAGTTGTTTTTAAAAACTGTGGGTAAATTTTTTTATTCAATCCTCAATTTTTCCACGAGAAACCGTTTTTAAACCGTTGTGTTAAAAAATGATTTAAACGTTCTATAGTACACAAGGTTCATATGAGCTCCTTTATTGTGAATATAAGCAGTTATATTAAAGATAGTTAGGTTTTTATTAGCAGCTAAAACTATTTTTTTTAATGTGTGGCAGGACTTATATTTTTATATTTGTACGAACTATTTTTTATAATAAAATATTATACAAATATAAATAATATCAAAAATGAATTTTATGCACAACCTAACCATTCTTTAGCCACATCTTGTATTTCTTTCTCCACCAAAGATAGACAACATCATGTTTAACAATTTTCTAGATTGAAAAACCTTCTTTTCAAACATATTGTTGAATAACAGGCATCATACTCGAAACTAAAATAGATACAGAAAAATATAATATCAGAAGAATGTTATTATTTGTTTTTGAAGTGTAAGGGAAGTAGTACAGTAGTGCTGAAGTCATAATTTGACGGAAGCCCAGTGTAAATGCCAATAATGCAAATTAATACAAAAATTTAGGTAGTCTGTGGTATTTCTAATTTCTTTTATACAAACAATGAATTTTTCTACTATAGAAAATTTTTTTTTTTTTCATCTTAAACAAAGAAAAACAAAATTTTTAACTTAGAAACATTTTACACCGTGAAGCTTATTAGCTGATAAAAAAGATCAATGAAAAGCTAAAATTCATTGGTACATTGGTAATATTTCCTAAATAAGTACTTAATTGCTGTTTTATTAACATATTAAATTTATTTTTAAATTTGAAGCCTGTACAGATGTTTACTGAGAGCAGGCAAC